GTGTTCCCGGCTCTCCCTTCTCTCCCTTCGGCGCCCGGAGGCGCCAGTTTCTTTCTCTTCCCCGCCCCCGTGCCGCACCCCCCCTCCCCCCGCCCCGGCCTCCCTGAGCACCTGGGACCTCGCTCACACTGATGTCGGATGTCCACTGACTCGCTCGACACAAGTTTAGTGAGCACGGCTGCGTCCTGGACAGTGTTGCGAGTGCTGGGCACACACTCGTGAGCTAAGCAGGTGTGCTGTCTCTTTCCTTCATGGGGAGATGGGGGGGGGGTGAGGCAAGAGGGAAGGAGGATCCCTGTCTTCACTCGCTCACTCAGCAGGTTCGGGGGAGAAAGCTCCGGAACCCTGGAGAGGGAGGGTGGGATCAGAGTGGCCAGTGTGGGGGTGTGTCTGTGGGGGCACTTCTCGGGGGGGAGGGCGAGGATGCTGTGGCAAGCAGGTGCTGTTTGAGCGAAGGCCTGCTGTGTGTTCTTTCTGATCATGCTCATGGCCTGGGGTGCACTTTCCCTGTGTTTTTTTTCCCCCGTGTTTTTTTTAAGCTTCAAGTAGGAGGACGCGTTTCGTCACCAGACGTTGGCTGAGGGCGGGCTGGGCTGCTGCCCCTGCGGGCCTCGGCCCGGACCCCCTTTCCTCGTCTCCACGGTCACTCGTGTCCTATTTTAAACCAGACATGACAATTTGAAATTTGACATACATTTTTTTACTTTTTAAAAATGGAAAAAGTTTGTTTAGCTTTTGAAAGAGACATGGAACTCCGCTATTTTACGTGCAGGATAGAGGGACCTTGGCCAGGACCTGCCTTATTTACTGGACTAATGGGAGGGGCGTCTCCTCTCTGGCGTCTGCTCACGAATTCTCGGTGCCCACCCGTAGTGAATGCCCAGTAAATGCCACCGGGTAGCCAAACGCACTGGGCACTACAGTGACCACGGTGTTCAACGGCTCTCGGCCTTAGGTTCAGGTGTTTACCCATCATGCTCCTTGGTATTTGCCCGAGGGAACTGAAAGCTTATTTCCACAAACCAAGACGACCTTCAGCAGATGGTGGATACTTGCGCCTCGGCCCCTGCAGACTGCGGGACGTCCATTACTCAGCGCTGGAAGGCAACGGGCCCCCGGGCCGTGAGGTGCGCGAGGAGCCGTAAACGCATGTCACTCGGGGAAAGAACCCGCCTGAAAGGCTGGGTGCTGCAGGGTGCCAGCCACGGGACCTTCCGGAAAGGGCGAACTAAGGAGCCGGTGAAAAGATGGGGGGGGTGCTGGGAGGGGGAGAGGAGGGAGGGTCCGGCGGAGCACGGAGGGGGTTTGGGCGGCGAGCGTCCTCTGGATGAGACCATCATGATGGGCCCCCGTCCTTAGCCCGGCCCACAGGGCGCACAGACCAGCAGGGAGTCCCACACCAATGTGGGCTCCGTGTGACCATGGCGTGTGCGTGTGGGCTCCTCAGTTGGGCCATGTGCACAGCCTGGTGGGGGCCGGGGGCACACGGGACACCTCTGTGCCTTCTGCTCTGTCCCTCTTGCAAACCTACAACTGCTCTAAAAGATGAAGCCTTTGCAGTCAAGATGCGAGGCACCTCTGGTAGTGGAGGCGGGCGTGTCCGCTCAGAGCAGGGAGTGAGTGCACGTGCTCAGCAGCCAGACAGGACAGTGGGGCCCAAACTCAGCTGACGGGAGGCTTCTCATCCCCCAGAATGCGGATGACGCCCCCAGAATTTTACGGGGTGCCCTGCTGGCCCTTTGAAGCGGGCTCAGTGAGTTTGGCAAACGCGCACCACGCCCCGGCATTTCTCCAGCTCCACACAGGTGTGGCACTGTCCTCCCGGTGAGCAGTGCAGGAGGCACGTGGCGGTTCGACCTCTCATGGTCACCGCAGGCCACCGGCAGTCCCATCCTGGGCGTTGGCTTATTGTCACCGCCCTCCAGTGTTCATCTTACAAGTGATGCCCAGAAATAGGCTCCCGAGAAATAAGAGAGAGGCCCTGAGCCCAGAGACGGCCTGTCCTGCTCTGTCCGTTTCCAGAAAAACACCCGTGTGTGTGTGGGCTTCTGGAAGTTGGGGGGGGGGCAGTAAATCTGCACACTTGGCACAGCCTCCGGAGGCCAGTTCAGGCTTTGAAACTCTCTCTGCTCCTTTTCTCCTGCTGTTTCCCTCCCCCTCCCCCTCATCCCCCTCCCCCAGCCCCAGGAACAACTGCTGTGGCCGTGACCAGCTGAGAAGCGGCCCCATGGGGCTGGGGGGGGGCGCTGCCTGATCCCCCTCCAGATGGGAAACTTGTCTGAGCAGTTTCAGCCCCACGACAAGGGCTCGGGGCCCAGGGCGGAGGCTCAGTTTGTACTGAGGGGTGGGGGGCGGGGGAGCCGGCCCTTGGGGAGGAGTGCACGCTCGGCGTGAGGGAGGAAGCAGACACGCACACGCATTCCCACACATGTACACACGTGTACATGCATGCCTCTCTCCACCTCGGGGAAGCGTGTCTGATGACGGTGTGTATCTCCGGCCGAACGCTGACCCTCGCTCGGTCTTTGTCAAACTGAGAGGATGAGGCACTTTTCTAAAACTGAAAGGCACATCAGGAACAGATCAGGAACGAGCAAAATTAACAGTTCCAAACCCATTTCCGTAGAAACGGACTCATTAGTCAGCATGCCAGCTGCCTCATGGAACAGGCCCCGCCCCCAGTTTGAGAGAAATGACTTGAAATGAAAACCACCCACAGAAGTGACTCCAGCCTGCCGGTCATTCCGCCCATCACCGCACTGGGGCCAGTCCCGGAGGCGGAGGCCCTGGGCCTGGGCGGGCGGAGGGGAGGAGCCTCACACCGGCCCCGCCCCCTCTGCCCAAGACCTCGCACCCGCGGCCCGAGTGTGGACGGGCAGGAGCAGACCGCTGATACCAGGACAGTGCCGCCCTTTCTCTGTCCACACCCAGCGGGAAATCCAGGGTCTGATCTCAGAGGAAAGAGCGCCTTTTAGAGGGGATGCAGCAGACGGAGGGCTGGGGGACCCCCGACGCCACACAGGGGACTTCAGAGGGGGACAGATGGGAAATGAGGTGACGGAAGCTGAGAGCTCAGTGCCCACGCTCCTCAGATGGTCCTGCAGTGCCTCCCGAAATCCAAACCTCAGCCCTTGATCTCGTCTTTGCCTTTTCGCTGAAGGGACCGCAGGGGTCCTGGGTGGGGGGTCCCACCTGCGCCCACCTGCCCTCTCGTGAGGCCAGGGCCTTCTTCAGCATGCATGCTCTCCACCTGCAAAGTGGCCTCACAGGTGGATCTGTGGGTACTCCAGGTTGCCACGTCCCCACGCCCGGGGGCGGCTCCGCCGGCAGGCCCCGGCCGGGTTTGCCCGAGGGAGTCCGTGGACTGTTCCGGAACTGTGTCTTCCATGGTTGCAGCGCCCTCACAGTCTGTGTCCACAGTTCTCCGCGACGTGCGAAGCAAGTTCACATGCCGTCCCTCGTTTTACCCTCACAACTGTCCTGAGGGCGGGCAGGTGACCGCCCGCCCGTTTCCCGGGTGAGCAGACTGAGGCGGGAAAGAAGGCCCAGCACAGGGTGGGAGCGAGCCAGCAGCTCCGCCCGCCCTGTCCAGGCGGCAGCCACGGCCGCCGTGTGCGGCTCGTGAGCGCTTGGAGTGAGGCTGCCGTCAGGGAGGAACTGAAGTGTCGCTTTGGTTCACTTTATGGGAAATGTCATTTGCGTGCGAATAGCCGTGTGTGACTCAGGGCTATTGGACTGGGCGGCTCCTGAGTTTCTCAAAGCCCCGCCGAGCGGGCAGAGGTCGGACCTGGCCGATCCTGTGTGGAGTCCAGTGCTGGCCGAGTGTGCGAAGGGTTCTGTCCTGGGGCGGCCAGCTGTGCCAGTGCTGCCGCCGTGTGTGGGCGTGGCCTGGGGCACCTGGCGTAGGCGAGGCCGCTGCCCGGCCCTGGTGTCCGCCTGCCCTACGGCCCCCTGTGGAAGGGGTGCCGTCTGGGGTCAGGCACTGCTGTCGGGCAGGCTGTGGGGTCCACATACTCTTTCCTTCCTGGCTGAGAATTGGGGGGGCAGAATACAGACCCTGCCCAGACCCCAAAAGGCAGGGCAGGGGCTCCCCAGCCCCCATTGACCTGGCAGGCCCACTGGTGGTAAGGACACAGGTTGGCCGGCGTGACTCGGGCCCTGGGGAGCTGTGACTGACTTGGTCAATCTGCGGTCACAGTCCTTGGACCTGGGTGAGGCTGGACTTGGGGTGCTGGGAACCGGGTGACCGCACTTGGTCATTGCAGGTCCCTGCTGGGGGGCCGTTTGTTTCACCTCTCTGCCCTGCGACGTCTCCCGTGCGGGCATAGCCTCGGCTTCCTCGTCCGTGTCAGTGACAGGGGCTCCTGTGTGCACCGACACCGGGGTGACACCCGTCTGCTTCACCTGCGCGCGCCTCATCCACCTTGTTTCCGCTCCAAGTGCACCTGCGAGGTCATTGCTGCAGGTGGGTCTCTTCCCACTTCAACTGAGGGTGACAAGACGAAGAACTGACTGCTCCCCGTCATCCTGTCACTCGCGGTTTAGGAAGCCCCTGGGTCCCCTGGTGCCCACGAGGTCCGCACTGTTCTCTCCAGACCCAGGCGCCCATCGGCCGGCAGCCCCGGCAGAAGCAGGAAGGGCTGGGACCCGGGCTGTGCCTCACGGCTGGAGTGACGGTGCAAGGCTTAGGGACGGTTCTGGGAGCGGTGCCTGCACGCGTGGGGCAGCTCTGTGTGTGGGGTGTGCACGAAGGGGTGGTGCCGTTTGTGGAAGGCCGGCTGCTTCTCTCAGGGCCCCAGCGGTGGCTGGTCACCGCTCTGAGCTCGGGCCAGCGGTGGGCAGCCCGGGAACCGGGCTCCGTCGGTGCTGCTGTGGGACCCGTGGAGCTCGGCGACCCTTCTTCTGGTTGACCCAGAGGAGTGTGGCGATTTCATGGTGCCCTCGACCTTCTGCTGAGTCTCGGGTGTGAAGTTATACTTGGACATGTGTTTGTTTTCCAGAGTGAACGGCTCCTTCTCCGAGATCTTGCAAGTGGACTTCGGGGTGGACAACAGCAGCGACCTGGCCGGGGCCCAGGCAATCACGTGGCAAGTGGAGTACCCGGCGGAGGAGTCCATGAGCCAGCTGGCCGTCTCCGAGATCTTCGTCAGCCAGACCAGCTTCGTGGGCATCGTCCCTCTTGCCATGGTGAGGAGCTCGGGCTTCAGGAAAAGGGTCGCAGAGAAGTTTTCTCTGAGTGCTTATGAGGCCCCACGGAAATGCAGCATTTTATCACCTGCTCCTTCCCGTGTGCCGACACTTGGTGTTTGAACCAGGAAAACACACCTAGGTTGCACTGGTTAGCTACTGTCTGTGTGCCTCCCGGGAAACCGCTTAGAGTCTTCGGTATAAATGCCCTTTTCTTTGTGGATAGCGCTGAACTGGTTCCCGGGAGGTCCTCTTCTTCCTGTCGTAATCTGTGTGCCTGTTGGGCCAGGTACGGCACTGAGCAGAGATGGTTTCATTGAAAGGGGCCCGGGGGCGGGGTGCCTGGTGAGGACGGTGGCTCCCTGTGCTGAGTGACCCCCACCCCCGTCAGCCAGCTCTGCCCCGAGGGTTCCCAGGTAGCGTGGGATTGGCACACTTTAAAAATGCAGGTGGACCCCAAGAGTCCTGTTGGGACCTGTGCAGTGGGACCTGGACCGGGTCCCAGCATCCACGTCAGACCCTCTTGCGTCTTTGTTTCATTGGCCTGGAGGGGACCAGATGCCTGGTCAGAGCTTGGGGACGAGGCCCCATTTGTGACCAGGCTCAGGGGCCACATCTGAGAGCAAGACGGCTTCCAGACTGTGGAAGGGAGGGTGCTGGTGGGTTACCAGGATGGCATGTTCCTGGTACCCTTTTTCACACTGGAAATATTCAAATATATATTCAGTTTGGTACCCAGATATCCCCAGGCCATCTGCAGGTGCTTTTGTCAGGGACCCTCAGGTGGGCGCCAGGGTTAAGATCGTTGCTAATAAGAAACCCTGCACCGACAACCCGTTGCGCTGTCTGAGCGTCCTGCTCCTGCAGGAGGTGGGTCCTGTGTGTTGTGCGCACGGCACGCCTCTGGCTGTCAGGGTCTCCACGGTGGGCGGACCTCCACTTGGGGCCGGTTTCTTCCATTTGGGTTTAATTCCCATTGGCTAGAAAGTGCCGGTGGATGGTTGAGTAGGATTGTGTATTACAATGTAACTCTTGGATTGGCTTAATGGGGTCATGTATTACAATATAACTCTTGGACCTGTTGAGTGGGGTTGTGTATTACAATGTAACTCTTAGATTGGTAGAGTGGGGGTCTGTGTTACAATGTAACTCTCGGATTGGCTGGGTAAAGTAGTGGGTTACAGTGTCAGTCTTCGAACATGGGGAGGAGAGACTCTGAAATGGCTCAGAGGGACCTGAGCTGTTAGTAGAGTTTGTAGTAGAACCAAAGTTGGTAGTTTATCTTTATTTAGTCAGCCGTTGTAGCTTCTTTTCAAACCTGTATCTGCTGAAGGGTGGCTGTTAGGGGGGAACTGTGTCCTGTGCTTAGAGTAGAAGCCCCCTTTTGAACTCCCTGTCCCTCCTTTCCTCCTTCTCAGTGGCAGTGAACCCCCAACAACATCTGTGTGAGGTGAGGGTGCTAGTGTCCTTGCCCAGAGAATGCTCCCCCCACAAAAAAGTGAGTCCTGTTATCCTGGGGATTCCCCCCAGGCCTATGATTTAGAACTTGGCCGCCAAGTTGCGTGACCCTGGCCTGAGTCAAATGCTGCTGATACCTCTTGGGTAGCAAACCAACCTTGACTTTGTGAAGGTCAATATACAGCTTTGGGGGGATGCCTGGTAGCACTGCGAAAGACCCCAGGGAGCTGATGCGGTGGACCGGGCAGGAGGGCCATGGTCAAGTCCCCATCTGTCCACCTATTCATCCATCCATCCGTCCACCCACCCATCTGGTCGGTTGCTATGAAACGGACATTTATCTAGCACATTTTGTGCTGGATTCATTACTTTTTGGGGGAATGGAAAGGGAACAAGTGGAACTGGTAGAAGTTTGGGGGCTGAAATTGCCGGGCCTTGGAAACCACGTACGTCTAATATTTCTGTTTCTAGCCGGCAGTGCAGATGGTGAGAACCTCAAAACCGCCAGCTCACAAAGGGCAGCCAAACTCGAGGGGTGTCACGTCCCGGGGCGACCACGCTGTGGTGCCGTCCTGACCACGGGAAGGTTGGGGTCTGGTCCCCGGTCGGTCTCTGTTCGGGAGGCAGCCGATTGGTGCGTTTCCTGTATCGATGCTCCTCTTTCTCCCCCTCTCTCTTTCTCTCTAAAATCCATACACGTGTCTCAGGTGAGGATGTAGAAATTTACAAGTGCTGTTCGTGCCCCGCCCCCCACCCCACGGCCGGGAAATACTGCCTGTTGTGTCCTGTGCTTCCCCTTCTCCCTCCTTTTGCTGTGAAAGCCTGGTTTCCCGTCTCTCCCCCCCCTGTGGCCCTTCCCTCCCTGCCCCTCCTCTTGGGTTTTCTGCACACGACCCAGTTTTGAGCTTAGAGATCATCTCCCCGGGTGGCTCGGAGTTTGGGCTGCAGCCTGTCACTCAGCCCCGGGCTTCAAACTCAAAGCCCCGGCCGATTAAAAACACTTTGTCTCTCCACGAGGGAGGAGGCAGCCATGAGCTCGTTTGGCCGTTTCTAGGTGACAGGACGCAGGGGCTCAGCTTGGGAGAAAGCAGGAGGTGGCCAGAGCCCTTTGTGGCCACAGCGACCTGGAGTGCGACGGCGAGGCCTCCGGAAGGGTCTCCCTTTTCCGTCTCCTCTCGGACGCCATGGAAGCTGACCCGGTGACGCTGTTCCCCGTGTGTTGGCGCTGTGACACCGGCGTCCTCACTGGCTCTAGGTGTCCAGGCTGTGGGTCCCGAGGTGGCTGCGAGTCACTGCTCCTGTCACAGGGAAACTCCCGAGTGCGCTGGGGGCCGTCATGTCCTGGGATGATGGTGCCTCATGGCAGAGCCAACAGTGGACTTGACCTTGTGAAACTCTGGCTTCCTGTCAGCGGGGCTCCCTCCCCCGGGTGGCACCTGTCCTTTGTTCACTTGCTTTGAGTGCAGCTGGGCCTGGCCACAGCGACCTTCACCCCGGGAGCCCCCAGCTCTGACCAGGACAGAGGAAGAAAGGTCCAGCAGGTGTCCCGTGGGCCCCTCGGCACCTGTCCCCTTAAGCAGGAGGGCTCCTCAGAAAGATGGAAGGCTCGGGAATGAGCAGTTCTGGGAGCGCGGCCCTGTGCGGCAGCCGTGGGGACGGCTGTTAGCTGTCCTGGGTGCCGGTGTAATTTCCTGGGGCTGCCGACCGATGAGCCCTGACCGGGAGGCCGGGAGCAGCAGGAACTTGCCGTCTCCCAGCTCTGGAGGCTGGAAGTTTGAGGTCAAGGTGTCAGCAGGGCCACGCTCCCTCCAGAGGCTCCCGGATTCCACATCCCTCCTGCCCCTTCCAGCCACCAGGGGCGCCCGGCGTCCCTTCATTTGTGGCCCAATCCCTCCAGTCTCTACCTCTGTCCTCACAGGGGTGTGTCTCTCCATCTCTGTGTCCGTTCTTTATGAGGACGCCAGTCATTGGACTCAGAACCCACCCTCATCCAGTGGGACCTCACGTTAACTAGTTAACCAGTTAACTAGTTCTGTGCACGGAGATCCCGAGGTCCTGGTGGACGTGGGTGTGGGTGGGGGATGCACCGTTCCACCCACTTCCGGTGCAGGAAGCAGGAGTTGGCCACACCTGCGGCAGGCACTTGTCACCTTTGACCTAGACGGGGTCGGGCAGCCCAGTCCCTCGCCCTCAGCATGTCCCGGGGACACCAACGTGGGGGTGACGACTCGACGAGCTGATAGGTCTTCGGTGGCCTCAGCTACAGAAGACCCGCTTGCAGGGCTGGCGGGGCTCCACCGGGGCCGGAAGAGGTTCCGGGGTCTCTGGAGGGGTTTTCAGTGGACATCTGACCTCACGGGTCTGTCCAGAGACCCATGGCCATCCAGACATGAGTTCCGGCACAGCCACCCATCGGGGACCGCACGCGGCCCCTGCAACAGGCGTCCCCAGTGGCCCCGACGCAGCCCTGCCTCCCAGGCTCGCTCACGTCCGGGGAAGAGCCCGGCCTGCCTCGCACGCTGTTTCCTTGGTTACGCGCACACGGCTTCACCTGATTGACCCCACCGCTGGCGGCTGAAAGGAGCAATTTGAAGCTGTCAAGAATGCTGTCCGGCGGGCACACTTCACAAGTGACCAGAAAGAACCGTTCTTGTCGATCGAGATTAAAGCTGCGCACTTTGTGAGGGCTGCCGGCAGAGCAAGGGTTCCAGCCTGCAGCTGGCGGCGGGTGGCCACCCAGCGCCCGCGCTCACCCCGTGTGTGGGGCCTGCGAGGACAGTCCCCAACCTGTCACCGCCATGGCCCTGGGCCTGGACTTAGATGTTAGGTCATTTCCCAACTTACCCTTGAAACATCACGCTGTGAAAAGGATTGCTCTTGGGGCGGGGGGAGCCCCAGCCAGCTAAGCGGAAAAAGGAAGAGAGAAAACCCACGAAAGTGTTTGGTTCCGCTGCCCCGTGTCCTCCGCTGACGCCTGATTTCTGACGATGAACGATGGGGTGGATGGACCTATAAACGGGCTCCTGAGAGACGCCGGTGGCTGCCAGGCACAGGAGCAGGGGGACAGGGTCCCAGGGTTTCTGTGGCAGCGGAGACGTGCCAGGGTGAGTTCCTAAGGCTCTGCAAACACTGGGTATTTAGGGCCCGTCTCGCAGAAACGTCCATCAGAGGCCCTGCTCGAGAACTGTCCACGATACGGGGCGATGGCCCGAGTGACGCCATGGCATGGGACCACCCGAAGGTTTCACGCTCCTGTCTCCCACGCCCGCAGACGGCAAACCCGGCGGCAGCCTGTGCTCCCAGACGGTCGTTGTCTGTCCTGCTCGGAAGCCTTTCTGGCTGCAGGTCACACCAGCTGTGGGTGCCGAGACCCCCAGGGTCCTCCTCCTGCGGAACCTCCTGTCTGGAAGTGACAGCCGGCGTCCTCACCAGTGCAGTGACGTTGTCACCTGCGTTCTGGTCAGGAAAGGGACAGTGGGTGTGCCTGAGGGAGGCTGGCCGCCGGGCTCCCGTTGGCCTGCCCCCCGCCAGCTCTGCGCTCA